ATGAGAGAGGAACATTCTTTCCTGGAGCTGTTTTGTTCTTCCCTTCTCCTCCCTTCATAAGTCTTGGCTCCTTTTCCAGAAGCCCAGTAAACCCTGTAGGTAGACAGATGGGCTCAGATAAGGCCTGCCTGGGAGACCTTATTTCAGCCGCCACATTTGGATAGTCTTACCAGGAGACCCACCTTGAGAAATAGGGTGCAAGTAAAGAAGAATAAAATATGCAGTATTTCAGGAGTTTAAATAGATAAAAATTTAGAGAAACAGATGAGTTTCATCATATATGCCAATTCTGATTGATTAGTAATGGCTGCCCACAACTGTGCAGAAGATACTGTGGCCACTTCAATGGGCAGGAGGGTCATGATCAATTAGTGACGTCTACCTTGGATATCACCTAAGGCAGTTGTAGCATACAGAAAGCTATTTTTTTTTTCCAAAAGACATTCCTACAATTCAACATGTTGAACATAAATAGAAAACTCAGGAAATAGGTATATTTAAAACCTTAAAAATGTTTAAAAACAGCCCATAAGGAAACTTAAGGAAGAAACTACATGTAAAGCAGGAATTGTAAACTCAAATGCCTTTAGGAGCCAAGAAGGTGACATGAATGATTAATGTAGCCCAGATGGGGCCTCTGCTGAACTCTCCAGTGTATTTCTCATTTAAAGAGGGGAGTTGCTACTTCGTGGAATTAATTTCTGCCATGGAAGAAGGGGGGCCAGATATTAACACACCCACAATTTTCGCTTCCAAGAGAAATCAGAAATGTGGGTGATTTTTTCAAAGTAAAAGTTTCTTGATTTTTACTGTTGCCAAAAATTCTTTCTTTATGTTTTCCAAATCACTCCGTAGGCTCCACAGTATCTTGGATTTGTCAAAAAAAACAGCCAGTTTGGGCCTGTCTTTTAGAGTAAACTGGGAGCAGTATAGGAGAAAGCTCTGGTGATAATGTTTGGTGTAATTTCACATCTGTTTTCCCCACCAGGCTTCATACTCACTGTGGGCAGAAAGCATACATGTGCGTGTGTGTGTGTGTGTGTGTGTGTGTGTGTGTGTGTGTGTGTGTTTGTGTGTCTGCACCAGCAACTGCATGCCTGGTACGCACTCACATTTAATAAGTACGTATTATATGAATATATGGGTGGACCAAATCTTACCCTAACCTATAAAGTCATATTGCGTGGCCCAAATCTTTCCAAGAATTTTTTTTAACATTACCTTCTCTTCTTTAACTCTTGGCGGTAAAGAGTATTTCCTCTTATTCTACCTTCAGCGATAAGAATCTGACCTGTCTAGATCCAAGCTCTCCACCTCTTACTACTGTGTGACTTTAGGCGAGTCACTGCACTTCTCTGAATCTCAGTCTCCTCACTTGTACAGCAAAGATCATCATAGCACTTACATCACAGGGCTGTCTGACAATTAAACTGAGTGAGCCTGTGTAGTTTGTTTTGTAAACCAGGAGAATTTTGAGAGTGGACGGCAGCTCTGTAAAGAATTGCTCTGGGACATGGAGAATAACCTGGGATTTTCTCACGTACCCAAGAATGTCACCCTAAGCTGTAATAAAAAAGCGGATCCATACGAAGCTCTGGGGACAGTGCCTGGCATTCAGGACTCAGCAGTGTTAGCTGACATCACCGGAGGACCCCCATCAAGCTTCTGTTCTACTCTCTTTTAGTCCTCTGCAACATGGAGTAATGAAAAGAGCTTAGTCTTCAAGGTTTTCAGTTCTGCCACCTCAGTTCAGCCAAAGCCTAGTTGAGCACCTATTTTGTGTCCTGCTCTATACTACAGCAGAGGTAGCAGCTGAGTAATGCATGGAACACTGTTAATAATTTGGACAGGCAGCGTATGTCAAGGAAGAAATGGAGACTCTCTTGCAAAGAGAACAGCTTAAACAAAAGGATAGTATTCAGTTGATGGTCTCTTAGGCATGATCCAGTTGGGACCAGATACTCAAAGACTGCAGACATAAAAGGTTTGTAAGTCTAAAAATTCAAGCTCTAAAGATGGTGTACCTGGGTTTTGGACACGTTTCTTGTCTTTTACATCATCCATGAAAGAACTGCCAAGAGAGGGCTGTGCACCAAGACGCCACCATGAAAACAACTTATTTTCCTGGGAAGAATCTCAAAGACCAGTGACCCAATTACCAGATCATATTTTAAAAGGATGTTGTAAAGTTCCCTTGTTAAAAAAAGAGGAGGAGAGATAGTCACCACCGCCACCACCCCACTTTTATTACTATTTATTATTACAGAGATCATGTACAGAGAAGGCAAACTTAAAAAAAAAAACAAATCCTCCAAAGAAAATGAAGCCTTCTTTCTAATCTGGGAAAACTCAGTGGGATTTAACTGAGATAAAATTCCAGTCTCCTGTCTCAGTGACCCTCCAGCAACTGCCCTGCAAATGTGACATTTGCTCGTGTCCATCCTCCACATTCTGTTCATCTGTTCCTGTCTCCCAAACAGGAGGATGTTGATGGGACAGACACATAGCTTGCTTGTGATCAGAAACAGCTGGGTGCTCCTCAAACCCTGCACCTTCAGAATTGGATGCCACCAGGGCCTGTCTGACTTGCTTTGCTTTCTTCCAGCTTACAAGTTTCTCTGAAAGATGCCCGCCCAGAATATGAATGCCTCTACCTGCCTACCCAGAATCCGAGACAGGCGTTCTTGCAAGTTGCATCTTTTCCAAGAATACTTCACTTGCCCCATTCTTAGATAATTCAGTCTCTCCTTTTCTTGCTGACAATTGTTGCTTGGCTCACTGAAGAACTTATGCTATGTCATGGTTCATTTCATTTGTTCTTTCACTGGGCAAGTATTTAATGAGCATACACTATATGACAGATAGTATTCTAGGCACTGAGGATACAGTGGTGAACAAGGCAGTGCCCCTGTCCTCATGGAGCAGATATTCTCAGGCTAGATGCACTTCCATCATTCATCTGCTTGATAACTTCTTTCTTATCCTTCAAGATACAATTCAAAGAACATGTCTACCCCCCAAATCATCCTGTGATCACCTACCCCCCTTGGAAAAACTGACTCCATTCTGCTTAACCATTGCTTCTCTGGCCTCTTTTTGGCTTGCAACTTTCTGCCTTATTTTATAGTGGGGAGCAGATGTGCCCACCCAGTAGTACTCACAATAAATATGGGCTACTCGCTATTGGGAGGGTGGGATCTGAGATCTAAGGGACTGGGCTTGAAGCCCAACTCTTCTACTTCTAACGGTGAACTTGAGTGATTGACTTAGCTTCTCTGGGCCTCCAATTGCTCATCTCTAAAATGAGAATCATAACCATGCCTACCACACAGGGTTTCTGTGAGTATTAAAGGAGATAATAATAAATAACCCATTTAGCACAATACCTGGGGTATAGGAAGAGCTCGAAAATATCTGCTATTATGAGTATTTTATTAACAAACGTTAATTGGGCACTGTGGCAGACATTACTATCACCAGTGCTAGCTATCTTTTTTGTCCTAAGCAAATAGGAGAGACTACACTTCCCAGCCTCTTTGCGTTTAGGAAAAGCTGAGTGACAGGATGTAGCCACAGAAATATTAACAGAAGTGACATATGTCACTACCAGGCTAAAGTAGTTAAAGTTTCCTGTGTTTTCATAGTCTGTCTTCTTCTGCTGCTTAAACCAATGACTCCACCGTAGATAAGCCAGGAGATCTGCTCCAGCTCTGCTGTTCTAAGGATGGATGGATTTGGAGGATGTTAGGGAAGTCAGTGCTTGAGTGTACCGAAGTACATTCCATAGCCATCTGTATGTGAGCCTAGTACTACAGCTGGAGGCTTGGGAAAACCAAGAGACTCCTCCCCCAGATCTGCAAGACCGCAAACATAACTTGCTTTAGCTTGACCATGAAAGGCAAGCAGTCATTTTCCAGGTGATCGACATCAGAAAGGGGTTGAGAAACATAGTCTTCCTTTCCAAGAAAGAGAGGAGACCTGGAAGAAAATGTGCAGGTCCGCAGGCTACCATAGCTACTATGTTTTAGTCACTCTCTGTGCAACGGGGCTGTTTGCAAAGTTCTTTACAAACTTTATTTTATTCAATTCTCATAACCACCCTTAGGCATCAATGTTTGTTTTTCAGATGAGGGAACGGGCTCACAGAGATGAAGTCAGATGGCCAGATGACTGATAAGTAGCAGAAGTGAGGTTCAAATCTAGGCTTGTCTGAAGTCCAAATCTCATCACCAGTTGTTTCTGCTCTGGACCAACTCCCTAGAAGAGTAAGCAAAATGAATGGCCATTGGAGGCTTTGGAAACTTAAAACCCTCGATTCCAATCCTGACCCTGGCTAGCTGTGTGACCTTTGGGAACTGGCTTCACTTCTGTGAGCCTCTATTTTTCAATCTGGCCACAAAGCTCTTCTGTTTTACTGTAAAGATGTTATAAGAGACATATGGGAAGGTGTGTAGTGTGGGACATAGCATGTATTGACCACCACAGTAATGTGAATTCTCTTTTCTGCTCCCATCAAGAAAGGACGGGGTGAGATAACTTCCTTCACTCTCCCCTCACCTCCCCTGACCATAAAAAGCCTAGAAAACCTGGGAGAGCTCCTTTTGAAAGGTTATCCTTTTTGGCAGCCAATTTTGAATTTCTCAGCTATCATTTGGTGCTCGACATTCTCACATCTGTGATGGATGAGCAGAGAATATAAACACGTAGTTAGTGTTTGAAACCACTGGTTAGAATTGGGAGGGAGGACAGGCCAAGGTCCAGGACTTTAAACAGAAAAATAATACACATTTCCATTAAAGTGAAAAAAAAAAAAAAAAAAAAAAAAAAAAAGGTGAGCAGAAAAGGAAGTTACGCAAATCATTGAAAAGTTATTTGACCTGCTTGAAAACTTTAATTGCTGGTAATGGTCAACCCGTTTGGTGGTATTTTATTAACATTAATAGAATTTTACAGGATATTTCTCATACTGCTGTCCAAGAGTCTCAGGAATTCATCAAATATTAAAAGGTAGTGCTCTGGGTTATTCAGTTAAAGATGCCCTCCTGATGAGGTTTCCCACAAGTTAGAGACCTGGAGAAAGGAGGCAGCACAGGATTCATGTTCACCGTCAGCCTCGGCAGGTGAGATAAGAAAATCATAATAATCATGAATGTTTATTGGGTGCTTACTCTATGCCAGGCACTAGGCTAAGCACTCTGCGTGTGTGTGTGTGTGTGTGTGTGTGTGTGTGTGTTTTATACACAGAATAATCCTATAAGGAAGGTACTCTTAGCATCCCTGTTCTACAGATGGGAAAACTGAGACTTAGATTTTGAAGGTAGTGAGAATGAAGAAGAAATGGAGAAACATGAGCCAGACTTTGGAAACAAGTAGATGAGAGTTTTTTCCAGATCTGCTTCTTGTTACCTGTGTGGACTTGAACAAGTTACTAGGTCATTCTCTGCCTGAATTTTCCCTTTTAAAAATTGGGTTTTTATCCTCATTTTACAGGTGATATATTGAGACCCAAAGTCACCGAGCTAATAAATGGTGAGGCCAGGACTCATTAAACGGTCTTGAATTTGGTCCAATTGCTTATTACTGCATGATGAGCAACCTCAGAACTTAGTGGTGTGAACCAACCATTTTATCTTACGTATGATTTTGTAGGTTAATAACGTGAGAAAGACAGCTGGGAATTTCACCTACTATCCACATGGATTTAGCTGAGGATTCACTAACTTCACTAAGTTAGGGTTGGGGGATTCAATTCTCAGATGTCTTTTTCATTCACATGAGCTTCTTTTTCTCCAGATGGCATCTCATCCCCCCAGAGTCCCTGCAGGGCCTCTCTCTGTGGCTTGTGCTTCCTCACATCATGGCAGTGTCGGGTAGTTGGACTCCTTATATGGTGTTTGGCTTGCACCAAAATGAGCATCCCCAAAGACAAGAAGTGGAAGCATCATTTCCACCATAATCTATTGGTCAAAGCAATCATAGACCACCTTTCTATCTTGATTCACTGGGAGGGGATCTGGATCACACTTCTCAATGGAGGGAATGTCAAAGAACTTACAGCTATCTTTAGACTGTCTCACTGTACATAGTAAGAATCCAATAAATGGTAGATCTTACTTAGAAAATAAATCTATGAAATGGATGCCGCTAATACCCACTCACCTATCCAAGGTGATTGGAAGCATTAATGAATGCAAAGTACAATGCTGGATAGTTGGTAAAAAGCAGATGCATTATGACAGTAAGCTTCCTCTCTTTAGTGACTACTGGGATTCTCTAGCCAGGGAGGTGGTGTTATCCCAAGTGTAGGATTGCCAGATACAACATAGTACATCTAGTGACATTTGTGTTTCAGATAAACAGTAAATACTCTTTTAGCATAATTATGCCCCACGTAATATTTAGGACATTTTTCAACTAAAAATTATTCATTGTTGGTCTAAAATTTAAATTTAATTGGGCATCCTTTTCTTCTTTATTTATTTGCTAAATCCGGTAATCCTACCTGTGTATAGATGGAAAAGCTGACACCAAGAATTCTAATTTTATTCTTTGGCCACAGAGCCAAGGAAGATTGAATTTGAAATTTGAATTATACGCCAGACTTGAAGCTCTCCTTCCTCCAGTCAAACCAGGAAAGAAGCAGAAGAGGAAGAAGATGGAAATCTAATGTCTTCCAAACCTTCCAACCACCTTGAGCCTATCAGTAAGAATAGGCATCCAATATTCAACAAATTTATCTAGTCATGGAGCTCACTGTAAAGTTACATGGACTTGGAGAAGTGACTTAATGTTTCTGTACCTCAGTTTTCTCATCTGTAAAATGGGGGAATAATAACAGCAATTTAACCCAGAGGCATATTGTGAGGAATAAATGAAGTAAAATTGTAATAGTTTCTGATCCGTGCTAATTGCCTAGGATAAAGCACATAATCATCAAATTCTGCAATAACTGAACCAATAGAAGTATTAAGAAGTAGTAGGGGATGAAAGAGAGTGATAGTGAGGACATCTTTACAGAAGTTATAGCTAAGTAGGGTTGTGATAGAGGGAAAGAAGTTTGCCAAACAAATCAGAAAGAAAAGCTTCTAGGTCAAGGGAATGGCACATTTAAGGGGTAAGAGAAACAAAGCAAAAAGTGAAAGAAGCTCCAAGTAGCTCAACGTTGCGGAGGTATGGAGTGGAGTTTGAAGTTTTAGGGGCAGAGTGATGGGAGGGGAACCAAAAGACAGCCCCGCCAAGGCTTTGGATACCGGGGCCCTAAAACAAGTCTCAGACAAGGATGGGCCTGATAAGTGTTGCATTTTGAAAGTCCAAACCATTGCACTGGGTAAGATGAGTGAGCAAGTTAAGATTAGAGATGGGGAGACTTTTCCATTATTCAGGCAGCGAGACTCAGACTCAAAGCAGTAGAAATAAGGACATATAGAAGAGAGGAGCTCAAAGAGAAATTTCAGGTATAAAGGGAAGGGAGAAATGCCGGATTTCCAACTTCCGGCCAAAGCGGGAAATTTGACTTATGTAGTAAAACACTGAAAAAAATACATTTAACACAAATATCTCTTTAATTCACAACTTGGGCATAAAAAGAATGCCTATAATTTGAGGAATTTCTGTATCCCTAAGGAGCATTGCAGTGGTCATTGCCAGTAATGCCCCTCTAATTTTCCAGTGGAGGGCACTATGAGCTCATCCCAAAGGGAAGCAGGAGGAGGTAGGCAAGAAAGTAGTAGTCTGTAGTTGTCATACTAGTGGTTGCCAGTATAAGGCTAAAAAGAAAATCCTAATAATTTAACCACGTACCAACCTAATCTAATGAGAACTGCTATATATTGAGCCACTGGTGTGTGTCACACATTGAGTTAAAACTTTAATTGTATTCGATTATCTTATTCTCACAGCAATCCTATGAGGATTAGTCAGATCTCATTTTACAAATAAGAAAACCAAGGCTTTGGTGTATTACCGAGTCACTTAGCTAGTAAGTGGTCGAGATCCAGGGATCTGTGAGCATGGGCTCTGTGCTCTTAAATACCATGCCAGAATTCAGTGTTTCTCAACCACCAATCCATCATCCTCATCTACACACCACCTACACTATGATTGACTTAATACTATTTTTAATTAAGTAAATTTTGACTTACCATAAATAAGAATGTGATAAATATAGAGAAATCCATAAACATTAAAACAGAGGATAACCATTGAAATAAGAACTGTATATGCATTACTATATGTTGAGTGCAAAAAGTCATTTCTATGAGGTTCAAGGTCAGCAAATAGTCTATGGGAATAGCTGTCAGAATAGTGGTTGCCTTTGGGAGGCAAGAGTGGATGGACAGGCTGGAAAAACATGGAGAAACTTCGTAGGGCAATGGCAATGATTTAAATCTTGATTGGGACGTTAGTTACTTGCACTTGCATGTAACATTTGTCAAAAGTCATTGAACTGTAAACTTAAAATCTATGCATTTTATAGCATGTAATTATACTTCAATAAAAGCCTCAAATTTAAACTTTCGATATTATCTTAAAATAAGATTCAACATAGACTCACATAGATGTACTGACTCCATAAACCTTAGACAGGTGTGCCTTTTCTAAACATTTGTAATACATAAGGATTAATTATTTTGTATATAGCATGATTGGTCTGGGTTGCATTTTTGTGTAAATATTTTTTTTAGGTGTTAACATTTAAAATATGCCATACTTTCTGTTACAAGGGGCTCACTTTCATAGAGAAAATTCTAGACTCTGTCCCTTAGAAGTTGTGTAACCTTAAGTAAGTCATTCATCCTCTTTAGTTTTCAGTTTCTTCATCCATATAATGTGTTGATGACAATGAATACATCTCAGAATGCAGTGGTGCCTACATACAAATGTAGGTGATAGTAAAAGCGCCTTTCAGACACACAGAAAATATAGAAACATAGTTAATATTCTAGCAAATAAAAGGCCTTCCTTAATGAAGAACAAGCTGTTTCCTAATTAACTGAAATATGTGACCATTCATTCATCCATTCAATGAATACTTGGGTGCCCATGATATGCCAGGCACCATTCTAGGTAGAGAATACACTGCAGCAAAAGTAATAAAGAAGATGACTTGATTATATATTGAAAATGCTGAGTGCTCAGGCTGTACTCCATAAAGAGTGGCTATTATTATTATTACTAATCACGATTAGAAGCAAACAAATCCTCAAAGACAGTTAAAGGTGGCAGGGGGGATAGAGAGAGGTTGGTTAACCAATACGAAATTACAGTTAGCTGGGAGGAATAAGTCCTAGTATTCCATGACACTGTAGGGTGATGATAACAGTAATTTATTGTAGATTTTCAAATGGCTAGAAGAGAAAATTTTGAATGTTTCCAGCACGAAAAACGATAAACATTTAGGTGATGGATATGCTAATGGCCCTGATTCGATCATTACATATTATATACATGAATCAAACTATCACGCTGTAGCTCATAAAAATGTACAATTATTTTATGTCCATTTTATAAAAGACAGTTTTGCTTCATTCTCCTTCACCCATAAGTCTTCAATATTTTCCTTTCCCTTACATCTCCAGTCCAAATATAGAGTTACAATATGAGCAACAGACCTTCTTTTGAGGTTCTCTGTAATCCTCTTTCTTCTTTACCCTCTATTTGGGAGACAATGGTATACCATATCTTTTTCATCATTTGGGGATGGTCAACAGAGTTTTTGTATAGCTGTCAGGATGGGGAAGGCATTATCTCTACTAGGTTTAACGCAGAGCAGGGAAGTCAGCAGGACTCCACCCCAGTCGTCACATCACCTGGTGGAAAGAGGAAGGAATGCTTCCTATACAAACGTGGAAGTACTCCTGTGTAGGGCGGGGAGGGTCACCAGGTCACTTCCCTATCATCTCTATAGCGCTTAGTGGGAAGACAGAAGGATGTGACATCTTTAGTGGAGTTCACCTAGATTAAAGCAGGTACAGTCAAAAAGGTTCTCTGCCCTTTGTCTAGTCCTTCCACTAGAAGAATAGGGTTTTTTTGGTGGGGGACCATTACTTTTGTTTGCATCCATTGGTGTTTCTGGGCTGCAGGATATTCTAGTGCCCAAGTTTAGCCATACAGAAGGCTGAGGTTTCTAGCTAATCTACTTTCTTTTCTCTACCTTTCAGAGTCTTCTGATAGTGGCTTTATGTTTCTTTGTTAGAGATTCTAGTTGTATTTATCAGGAGAAATAGAATGGAATGGGCCTACACCATCTTCTTTCACCATATCCGTTAGATAATTCCTTGTCTTGAGAAGCTGGACTTTTTACAAGTGACTGTGTTTTTTAAAAAAAGTGTCTCATGAAAATCAATGTGGAACAGAAAATTAAAATGACAGTGACCAGTCTGATTCCAAGGTTTGAGAAATCATAGTATCCAATAGGTACCCATATCTCATTACTCTGTAAATCAGCTTATTTAAATATGATATAATATTTTTTCTTTCAATGTATGGTATTCTTTTTCAAACAGTGCTAAATTGCTAGGACATAAATATTAAAAATGTTTGGAGTGAATGACTTCATAAACAAAATTGTTATGGACTTTATGAAAAAAAATACTAAGATTCTAAAATCACCTTAAACTGAGAAAGTCTAGGAACCTCTAGTCTAGAATAAAGACCTATTCAAACTCAGAAGCAAACAAATGAATTAACCCAGAGAAAACTTGGAAGGCAAGCAAAACTTGCACTTCTCTGGAGTGTTGGGGCGAGGAGAGACACGCAAAACACAAAACAAAGCTGGTGTGCTGGTCCGTTAAAAAAAAAAAAAAAAAATTCCACTTTGAGCTTTGTTACTGCAAAGCTCTTTATCTGAGGAGCTCAAAGAGCTTTATTACAGGTAAATATCCTTGTCTCCAGCTGCTAATAGGAGAGGCCAGGCCCAGGGAGATTAGCGGAGAATGCCTATTTAAGGTCACATAACAGTCAGTGACAAAGTGGAGACTCACAGAGTGGTCTGTAATGGGATTTGTCTGCTGTCTATTGTGTCAGCCTAAGATGTTTGGTGTGTGAGGGCAAGACTCCAATGCCGGAGTCTGCAGGAGACAGGGCATCTTAGCGTCGCAGAGTGCAACCACAGAAGGGACTTGGAGAGCTGTTGAGTATGTCCCCTTTATTTTTCCAGACCCCACACTGAGGGTCTGAGAGAGCAAGGGATTTTTCAACTTCATACAACCTATGTGTAGCACAACCAGAAGGAGAATCGAGGGCTCCTAACTTCCACCTATTTCTCTCTTTGAATTTTCCTGGTTCTCAAGTGATTTGTCTAGGGAAACCTATTAAGGAAATTCAATTTCTCTAAAGCTGGCTCAGTGGAACCTGAGTTGGAACAAAGCTAGTAGAACATTGGTAGGGATTTGGAAGGAATCAGAGAGGAGTGATAAAGGCAGACTTGGGGTCAGAATCTAGGCTCTGTAGAAGACCAGTGTGGGACCCCAGGCAAGTCACCTCCCATCTCTGTGCCTCTGTAAGAAATGTCAGGGGCTCATTGATCCCTAAAATGCTCCAGCCTTAGTAAAATCTACTTACTGATTGCAAGATATTTGGATCTCAGTTTCTCCTTCTGCACAATGGGATATTCATAGTGCCCATCTCAAGGAGTCCACAGAGAACTTCCATATGAGGTGCTTATCATAGAGCTTCATGCCTGGAATTACTTTTACCAGTGTTAGCTATTTTCATAGCCACAAGAACAGTCTGCTCATACCATCCAACTTGAAATATTTGGGATGGATCTACCCAATCTTCCATACTTGATCATTCTTCTATCATTTTTTTTCTAAATCTGCACCCTTGTTCAAGCTTTTGATCCAACTAAGATGGCCAGATAAAATATAGGACACTCAGATAAATTT